GCCCGCGTCCCCAGCCTGCACACACACACACACACACACACACACACACACACACACACACACACACACACACCACACACACACATCACACACACACACACACAGAGAGATGAGAGAACAGCAACCACCATATGTGACCCGTGCCGGCTAAATGAGTGTGAATGCACGTGGGCTAATTTTGAGCTACAATCCAAAAAAGTGACAAATGTCGATTTTGGTCGAATTTGAGGTTTTCACAAAAATGAGTTCATTAAGCCCTCGTCTAGCGATCCCGATGCTCCAAATAGTACTTAAACATCTAAAAGTATCTTTATTTGTACATCTCATTAATGTTAATCTAAGAATAACAGAAAAGATCGCTGCTCTTGATTGAACTGCTTTTGTAGATTTAATAATCAATTTATTTGTAATGAACACACTGAAGTGATTTCTGCATTTATATTATTTGTTTTTCTTACTTAAATGTTTTTGTTTAGATGTAAAATGTAACGCACTATTTGTTTCTTTCTTATATTTGTGAGCAATATTAAGCTAGTGAGTAATATTAAGAAAGGAAGTGGAAGAAACAATGCAATGTTGCTAGCTAATTTTGCTTTGGAAAACTTTAACTTGATTTTTCTCAGAACTGACTTTGTCGACTTGTGTGTGACTTGTGTCTTGTGACTTGTGTGTGTGTCTGATTCCAACAAATCATAGATCATTTTGAAGGTCCAACCCTCTATATACACTAATAAGAACAATATAAAACGCACTAAGGATTAACAAGCTGCTGGATTCATAAATATTAATCAGGTTGTGTGCGTTCGCTCGTACTGATTCGCTGAAATCAAATGAGGGACGATAACACACATTCCTCCTCACTATAATGAAGTCTAACAGACATGTGTCTCAGGCCAGACGAGCTGAACGTACCGCGGCGGCCGTGTGCTGATTGGTGGAGGTGTTGGCGGCTCCCTGGTTGTGTTTGGGGCTGCAGTAGCCGCTGTCGCTGTCGATGTCGGCCTCGCTGGCTCCCTGCTCGCTGGACGACTCCTGCTGAGACGTGTGTCTGCGCCCAGCTTTATTCTTCCACTGAGGACTCGCCTGATCCGACGCACATCTGACGCTGCCAGACGCCTCGCCGGGGAAATCTGAAAACACAGTGTGTTCAGAGCTCAGGGCTCACTGGCTCAGGAATAAAGCAGGAGTTCTGCAGTGTTTATGAAAGTACGTTTAATAAGGAACAAATCGAAGGGAACATCAATATGGCCTCTTGTATTAGCAACACTTCACAGTTTCAAAATACAAAAATCTCCTTTCCTTTTAAATTCATTTTAGGACGTTTAGAACAAAACTAAAATACTGAG